ACTATACATCAGCGGTTTGGTATAGGTCAATTTTACCCAACCTGTAAGGCATGTCTCGTGCTAACTCCATTTTACACCAGAATACCTTCTGTAAAATGCAAAAAAACCAATGTTAACTGCCCAGTAATTTTCAGAAGCTTTTATGTATGATTTTGGATGCACAACATTGTAACAGAGACCGCTGCTGTTGAAGAAAGGTATCATACTATGCAGGCGCTAGCTGACAAGATTTGTGACCCTACTTGTTTTTGTGGGTTTTTGTTCATGAAAATGTGCTTCCTGAGTTCATCAGTGCTCAGACTTTATGGGAGCCAGTAGATGTACAATCGCACAGGACAGCGCTTATTTGACGAATGACTAATCTTTCGTGTTTGGTTGAAATCAGTGCCACTAAAGAACCGTAAAGGAGAACGATGATTTCGAGCGTTTATGTTGAAAAATGCATGCTCACTTTAATTGACGACCAGTCTTCCTGCTTTTCGACACAAGGAATAAGAAGACGGGATCAAACTACATTATTATTGGACCATCAGGTACTAAAAGTAGAAGAGGCTCACCAATGGGTATATTGGGACAGCTAAGAATTAGACATCCTAGTCGATCATATGCTCCTCTGTTCCATTCTTAAACTTAGTTGCCATCCGGTTGCTTTTCAGTAAGCGACAAGCTTAGCTGCAAATCCAAACTACCCAGTTTCTCCCTTAAGGATTCATTAAACTTATTCATACGTGATATGAAACTTTTCCTCAAAAGGTGCAAACATGCCTAATGCGAAGGTGTTTAAAGTTACATGTCTTCACTGAGGTAGCGACCTTAGTATTCCTCACTCTGGTTAAACAGCAAACTGATTAATTTTGAGGTGGCAAGCCTAACGTAATGGAGTTTAGGCGCTGGTCTTTTCTGAACATAAGTCAACTTTTTCGTCGCCAATCTGGGTATTAATGTAAGCGAGCGAATTTGTTCCCAAGTAGAACATGGGTAGCATGCAACATACTCATGAGGTAGAAATGCTAAGCTGTTTCCAGATGGTGGCCAGAGAATTTCGGATGAGCTAGCATTTTATGGATAATAGGCAGAATAGCAATCTGGATGGTAAAATGGCTCGGTGCGAATTCCTCCTTTTTATCTCGGTTAATGACCACGTAGCGTATGCAGCAGCGAACAGTTTTCAGTAATGCAGAAGCAAGGTACACGCGTGTTGTGGAGACCTGTTTGCAACTGCAGCGAAGACTGCCCTGACAGAATACTTACTAAACTGAAGCTGCGTCTAAGGTATGGAGGTCGCTTTCCATTGCTAGAGGCTCCAGATGGATAGGGTATCCTTACTTGTTCAATGAACAATGAACAATAAATTATACAGATTAGGAAGCACTGCTTTACAATGCGTATCGCCTCCCTGAACCAGTCAGCCTGGTTCTAGCTGCGAAAGAGATGCGTCACCAATCGCTAGTCTTGACGGCATCAGACCTGTTACAACTGAAGAGCTCCAGCTGTTGCTTCTCAAGACGTTATCTGTCATTATCCCCTGACCTTTTCAAAAGTCACTGTTCAAAGGTCCGTTGCAGAACTATCATGAATACACAATGGTGAACTCGGTTCCAAAAGGCGGAGACTCCAGTAAAATAGACAACAATTGACCAATTTGTATGACGTCAGTTTTAGCCAACACTGGAGAAAATAACGAAGAACGATCGGTTAAAGCCGTTCTGAGCGATCAGAGGGGCGGGCGACGCAGAACGGCTCCAGTACGATTTTAACACGATTTCAAACTTTCAGTTTAGAAAGTGTCGCGTTAATCAACTATGTCATGGACGTACCTACATGTACTGGCTTATGAAACACAGATTATAGACCAGTACCCAGGAACGCGAACTCAACTGGTCAAAACAAACTGACACAACTGCGGAAAGCGGCAATCGGCACATATGCCTGCTGCGAAGCTGATTCAGGAGATTTGCCGATCAATCTTCCCGATGATTTGCAACTCCTGCATGCACCCTCACGTTAAATACGATATCCAACCTTGGAAACCTTTTTAAACGCACGACATCGAGTTACTAGAGGCACTACGGTGCTGCACAACAAACAATATGAAGAGCAGACGCAATCACTCTTTTCAGCGAAGGCTGAAGTCGTTGAAAGCTTTCAGCGGACGGTACCGAATATTATGCGGTGATTTCATACAACAGCACCAAATATTGAGTGAGCCTACTCACCTCACTAGCTGGAACTCAGCCACAGCACCAAGCTCAGAAGTAACTGCTTGAAACTGCTTGAACCATAACTTTGCTCTTTGAGTTTGCCAACCTTGCAATTCTCTCCAAATCTCAGTTGTCTCTTACCTAATTTGAAGATTTGCAAAATAACATTGTATGTCTCTCTTGATTCCTGGCAATCGTTACCTAAGCCGCACTACTGTGGATTACAGTAATCATGCTCATCTAACGGACTGATGTATCACTCACGGAAGCGGCACATATAAGAGTGACCAGGTTTTATTTTGAGGATGCTTTACATCTATTATCAGCTCGTGTTTTTCGTATATTAGCATTTAATTTTTAATTCCATTAAAGTTATTTGCCCACGCAGTTAAGTCAGTAATCGCACGGTAGGTGACTCACATACCTATTGATTTTGCAGTATTCACCCCAACCATCCAACGGAACACGTAAAGCACTTTCTTGTTAACCCGTGCGAAATCAATGTTCGCCGTTTATTGTTCGTTCTTCGCCCCGTGACGCGAATAGCACGGTTTCACTCTATATTGCTCATGCATTACCAGAATGCTAGTGACGGCGCAGAATGATCGAAGGCGACAAACCAGGGTAAGTCTGTCTACGTAATCTAAATCGATTCCAGCAAAATGTTTGGCACTTAAAACCGTGAGCTTATGTACCACGGATTGAGAACTCCGTAGCCTATCCCGTCGTCATTCGCGAGTCGGAAAATTGCGCACGCTGAGGTCGCTGCTTCACCTGTAAACACCCACTAACAAGCATGGACGTTGATAAAGGTTGCGGTTTCGCAACTAAATACAGCTGCTCCCTACCTGTGCTTCGGACGGAGAATGGCCATTGTTTTCAACAACGTGCCAGAGCATATATTAGTAGCAAACTTGATATGGCATTACAAAACATCGCTGTACTTATATTTCTTCATTGACGGACACAGAGAATTATTATACACGGGTAATGAGGTCTTAAATTTGTGGGTTTTATTTTACTTTAAGTCTGACATGTTTTTCGACACCAAGTGAGTAGGTGAAGAAGGATTGAGATATTCACAGGTCAGAGACAGGTGTTTTGGCCATGTTACGACAGGGTTCTGTAAATCTACATTGCAACCTAATTCGATAATACAGTGTTCCATTTGTAACCTTTAACTAATCATCTCTCTAAATTGGCATCCACTTTTCCTAAAAACAGCATAAGTGTGGTACGGGAGTCGGTCATTTCTGAGTAGCGCATTACCGCACATTATGTTGGGGAATTTTATGTCGAAGTGATTTGATTGCAGGAATGTCACTATGTGTAACCTGGGAATTAAAGATGAGAGCCGTGCTACCCACTGCTGTACATTGGAGAGAGGATTTAGATGAGAATGGGTATCTATATTTTACACCGCAAACAGAATCAGCATGCTTGCATCTTCAGGGCATAACGTTGCTTCTGGAGTAAGATTAATATACTGACTTGATTCCTCGGCAACTTAGCCCCTGCTACGTAAGTTTGGTGACTGGTCTCATTTGCATCAAACGTCGATTTCTTGTAGGTAGAGTACATGGAGCAATACAGATAGACAGAGATAGTAAGCGAAAGTACTGCGTGGACATTGGTTCCGCCATCGATCCAGATAGTTAATCTCAAGAGCACATTCACCTCACAACCTTATCCGTTACCAGAATCATTGAATGGTAGGCGACATCCGGTTTCGGATTTGCCTGTCACTGTGGCCAGCCACAGGACGCCTGCGCCTACAGAGGGACCATGGATAGATTGCGCTGCACCACCCACAGCTCCATTCACACAACCCATATGCAGAGTAAACCCGAAGGAATAAGACCGGGAGGCATGCGGATGGGAGCCATGTTTTATCAACGAAGCGGGCCCACACTCCTTCACAGGCAAACACAAGCACGCTGTATTTGGGGAATCAACCGCACACAAGGCGGTGGCTGGACCGTAGTCCGCTCCACACTGAGTGCATAGAACCACTCTTCGAGCCTAGCAAGGCCACAAGGACCGTGCACCCCGTCCCCTCCAGCAACGACCAACTGTCTCCTGGAGCCAGATGGACGATGTAGTGGGTAATAGACAGGTAGGCACCTTGTCAACAAGCACATCAAGCGCAGCCACACCTGGGATGTCAAACAACAGCCAATCATTCGAAATGCCGATATCGATTAAAGTAAACGCATATGACGACATAAATACTCGCTAAATGAGCATATGGAAGAAATTGGTTACGTGAATACAATGAACAATGAACAGTGATATATTACAGGTAAAAAAGCGATTGCTTTACAAGTCCCGTAGGATGGTTGAAGTGAAAGCAAACATAAGTGTAAATCGTCAGTTTAAACGTCTAGTGAATTCAAGTGTTCCTTATTCATAGAAACGTTGTAGAATATGTACTGAATTGTTACTGTAGAGTAATATGGGAAGTAATACGTGATAAGTGAAAAATGTCCGAGTTATTTAAAAAATACCACGCGATAAAATTACGCAAGTTTACCACAATTTGCATGAGCGAAGTGTGTAGATTGGGAGAAGATTATCAAGTACCCAGAACAAAAAAATGTAACGAATTTTATCCACATTAAAAAGACCTAGTTTAAGTGTAAGTTGGTTTAGCCCAACTGCGGTGAAGAAGCGTCATGAATGCGACATCAGCTTCAGCATGGGGCACAGAATCATTGAATACAGTCTGTGATATTACCAACTTTCTTCCAGAAACACTACCACGAAGATACAAGGTTTTCTACTTCTAGTAAGACTTACTTGCAGTGAACTGTGATAGGAATGGCACTACCCGTTTGATTCCGCATTTTGTGAACTTGTCCGATTAAATCGATGAGACTATTTCCTCCAGCAGGTACGTCATGCTCTGGCCAACACATATATTGAAGCTGACGTACGATTCGAGACTCCCCGTCCCGAGCGTCGGTGATTTTGAATTCTCGAACGATGTGACCAGGATGCTTGTATTCGGCAATCGGATCAATTACGAAGAACTGGTAACGCACGGTATTTGCGGTAGGCCAATATTTGAAACATTGTTCCTAATGATTGAAAATACATGGCATAGCTCAAATAGTTTGCTCACTGTTACTTACTGTTTGGGGCAGTTACAGCTTCAGGTCGATAGACCAGATAACTAGAAGACTACAGAAGAGTAGTAGGAGGAGTTGAATGTTATAGGTGGAAATGCGTCACATCTAGACTCACTTGGACAGCCGTCACAAGCCCGGAAAAGCACTGTACGCGCGTTTCATCCTTTCGGGAATCATCAGCAGTGCGCATTCCATCGGACCCTGGTAGGGCTCGAACCCACAACTCGACTGTTGCCAGTCCGTGGTTGAGACCACTGAGGTACGGGGGACGGCAATGACCAGGTACTGTTTACGGATCACGCATCCTTGCTTAAACATATAGCCAATTTCTGGTAACCTTCCTCTAATTCACCATCTTAAGGATTGGTGACACGGCTTCTCTTGTGATCGGCAAATATTCCAAGAAAATCTACTTACGCTTTATCAGTCTGGCTTTTGTGTTGTAACATTTGCGAAAAGCTTGAATATGTGAGCAACACTACAACCTTAAAACACCAGACCAAAAAGCATTCAAAGAGGATACGCAAGACACCATGCTAATAAAAGTAGCACTTTCGTGGATGCATCCTTTTTTACTCTAGCTGCGCACATCAATAATGAGACCTGAATGGGTGAAATGCTTTATAAAACGGTTTCTGTTGTTTTGTTTCTGTAACAGACGCCAGATAAACTATTCAACGCCTAAAGTAATTTGCATGCAAGTAAAATCTTTACAATATGTAATCGAGATTCATTATCTAGAGCTGAGAGCCATTGGCATTCAGACAGGTGTCCGGTTCTTTCAGCGCTTCGTATTGAGTTGGTTTCAGGGGTTGTGCCAACGAGTAACTCATTTCTCGTAATAATAATGGCCTCTCGAATTTTAACAGCTCACCAAAAATGGACTCGCATTTTAAAATGGACAATCATTGTGCATTAGTTCGCTCAGGAAACAAGCTACGAATGTACCAAGTTTATCCCTCGATGCGCAGAGTAATTTCTCGGTAACCATCACGCTTTTCAGCCAAATAAACTCCAAATGCACAGTTCGAATGAGACTTAGATCTATCATGAGTGTCATTGTGGAGTGAGAAGTTCCTGCGGAAATCAACCTTTAAGTTGTAGTTAAAAACTTCGGCCATTTGGAGACGCAAACTATGACATCGAAATCGGCAATTCCACCGTCGTGTTCTCATTCTGCCCTCGTGGCGGTTGTTATTAGGCAAGAAACAAAAGTAATTCCTCTAGCAATATTGCCTTTGCAAAGATTATAAATTGCTACTGTTTTGGATTTTAGGATAGGTTTACATGTTTTATAGTTCAGCGGAGATTTTGTAGCCTTTGCTGTGATTCTGTACGTAGCCTATTCAAATGAATACCTCCAATTATCTGTCACAATTTCACAACCAACAAAGGTAAAGTTGATTCTATTTGATTAGTGAACTAATGTGAGAAAGCTTTATTCAGAATGTAATGTGGAAGGTGGCAAACTAAAATGGTGTGAATACCAAAACACCCACTCTGCCGCCTTCCTCGATATCACACATCATCACAATGATGATGCTCCGATGTTCCCAAATCATACGCCAAAATTCTTCAACGGTAGACGCCATCGGAGACTGTGCGGCGATGTATGCATTTCTCACTCGGTAGCCATCAACGAAACTGGCATTGATGTAATCGGAGCCATCCACTCCTCGGACTGCGTGCAAACACACTCTGTTCCAATCGAAGGGTACCGCATTTGCAACGCGATTCTTTGGTTGGTTCGCCTGTTCAATTGAGACAATGCATGAAAATGTGGAATAGTTAAGTCAAGTTGTATACACCTATGTAGGATTTTTGTCAGCAAGTTACACTAATACTGCAAAATTCGTAATAGGTTAAAAAATATTCCAACGACAGTAGTAACTACCGACCTTGAAGGCCCCTCCAAAATCTTTGTTACAGTCATGCACGAACTAAGTTATTTCGAGCTACATTGACCCTACGGATGTATTTTATCGTTGCAAGTCTCAAAGTGGAATCCAGCCTAAGCAAAATATCTACTGTGCGAATTGTCAAGAGGCAGCTGCGTACGTGACTCACTATATTAGCTTTGACTGTTACTGCCGCCTACCACAACTTCTCGCACCACAAATGGCCAGAAGTGGCTTGTTTCTTTCTACTTAACGAGACAAGCTAGAGGAATTCAGGAGCAAAATGATAAACCGGCTACCTTAACACGGTCTTTATTTGGAGGGCTAAACAGTAAGTACATGTACATTGCGTAAAAAGCTTAGATGGGGCACGGGTGATGGTTTACTGGTTCCGTAGTAACCTATCCAGGCGCAGAGGCAGACAAAACGTTCTTTTCATGTGAGTAAACTACTTCAGTCAATGAGATTCACTGGGTTCACTTCGTTTATGCATTATTGTATGAAACAGCAGACGTTGCAAAGTCCCGATATACACTGATCGATTTAGGTAACAACGTTTTTTGGATGACTGCAGGTTTGAATTTACCAACCAACATGATCCGGATACACTGTTCCTGTTAGCACTACATGTTATGCTCTTGGTTTGCCTTCCAGCTGATGAGATTTGCAATATGCACCATGGTTGCTTAGGCAATGGAGCACTTGGTTTTCTCCCATTCTCCGCTTCTTCGACAGCGAACTCACCAGACCCTGCCTGTTCACTGTTACCATTTTCATCGTATTACGGGCTCACTTCGTAACGGGATGTATTTTGTATTAAATTAGCCATTTAACATTCGTGCGTTACTCGTTATCGACGGTATTTGGACTCCGTACTGATACTTCACGGCCATCTTCCAAATGAGTATAAGATGGCTAGAATATTTCTATAAGCCAAAACCCAGAATTGAAGGAGATTCGGATCGTCTGCATTAGCGCGTACATGCAAGTACCAAACTGTAAGACAGCGACGTGTTAACAATACTCTTAACAATAAACCTCATCAGAATGATAAGTGTTGCACCAAGCACAAGAGGTCAAAGCAAACATGGTGGCAGTAAGATGTCGGTCCAGCATTCAGCGCTGGCCAATAACTCGTGACCGAGGTTGCACCGCATCACCACGTTAACGCATGAACCCGTAGCGATTTCTCTTCTCGAATATGCCAGATAAAGATTGGGTGGTCGATCACAACACAGCACTCAACGACCGGCTTTTGTACTCGTTGGAAATCGTTGGTTTCAAGTAATGGTAGTTCAGCTGGAACACGGGACGTAGAGACCAAAATCGGAAGCGATAACGCCACCTATTTGCGCATAACAATGCTCAGCGTAACTACTTACTGAGGTGTCACTTGGATGAGACTGTACTGGTGGTGTGTCGCAAGGCATTCACCCAAGGAATCCTTCATTATAAACCCTAAGAAATATATTGGATACTGGGTACTACTGCGTGAGTTGCTGACTTCGTCATAGTTTCAAATGAACACTTAAGTAACCAATGAGTATACCCACATTTGTCTGCCTCGTACTTAGAAACCGTGGGTAATCCTCCTACGTAAGTATTGGAATCAAAACCAACTACATCTTCCATGTATTAAACACTCTGGTAGGCGAGGACTAACCAGACACAGACTTGCATGAACACTTCGGAACAAGCAAGATTCTCGGTTACATGTGAACATTCTTCGCGTGAGAAACAACGTAAGATTAAAAGCTTCGACATATGCCAATTGACAAGAGCCGAAAGCTCCCCATCCACATTGTAGATCAAAATATGTGAGCAAAATTGCCGAATATTCCTACGCGTTCCTCTGGAAGTAGTGTCATACACTAACCGTCGTCAACGGAAACAGCTACATAGACTTCGTATTGAGCCGGATAGACAGTTGTTTTAAAGCAAAATGAGTGGGATGTTCTCTTAGTTCAAAGATCCTGTTCGACTGGATTAGATAATCCTCCTATCACCAACAAGCCCGCCCAAACATTCGTATAAATTTCATGGTTGACATACGTCGAATCTAATAGACACAAAGGTATGGATACTGTAAATATTTTGGTGACTTTTAACTGTTATAACGTTTGCGCCTCATAGTAATCCGCCGTTTACCAGTTACATTTCAAGGTAAAATGAATATGATGTTCGGTGCATTTGCTTTGGTGCCTCTTCGAGATTCTAAAGTGTACAGTGGGTAGAAAAGCCAAACAGAGGAAATACTATAAGCGTCCTGTTATATGTGAAACAAATATTTTCGATAAGTTCAATTGAATGGTTGCTAGTTGTTCTAATTCATCTCATTGTTCTCGTTGCTTATGCTTTAACGTAACTTATCGCCACTGTCGCCTTTAAATCAACCAAGGCTGGAATACTCCCCCAGGCTTATCTAGCTGACTTTATTACTTTATTACACAAGCTGAAATACTGAAATTTTGTGTACGGGGAATCGATGCAGCACAGATGCACAGGACCGCATTCTATTACGTTGGTGCTTCTGTTTCTCTCATAAATTGTATTAACGACAGGTTCCCAGTATATTTGCTAATAAACTGGCACCTATTTCGTGAGCTCCGGTCATTGCGACTAGCTGGTACATTTAATGCATTCGTTTGTCATCGTTGGGATATCCGTTTTAGTTTTCTATGACGAATCTTTATGTGAATGACATGTGCAATTTTTGCTTTTGCGCAGGTCACCCTGCGCATCCGACAGGACGAGACAGGCATTTGTCTTTTTCTCTCTAATAAAGCATTCCTTATCGTTGTTCGGTTGATGGTACCACTACGATGTTTTACAAGTGCCTCGTGAATTTGAAGAATTACTGTAGTGAAGTGCTTTCTGAACGTAGGAAGGAGGGGAATGTACAGATTAATACAGTACATATACAGCACTTTGTAAGTTTTGGTTATATAACCTCTTGTATGATAAGTGCTTGGTATACATTCATCCGTTTCTTCGATGAAGTACAAAGCCAGCGTTTTAACAATTAATTGGACTTGTCGTCTTCATCATATTCCACCAACGCAAGCGATACGCAACACCTTTGTGCCGTGTTCTACATACTTATACACTAAGCGCATGTGGGGATGCTGTCGGGACGATTGGTAAGGAATTCGGGCTCCGATCCTTTTAGTACCATAGAGCTCAAGAAGCTGCAGTCTCACTCGCTTCCTAGAGACAGTAGGCGGTCAGACACATTGGATAAAAGCATGTTCACGTAATGACTAACCGGGGTTCCAGCTGTCTCACAAGTCAATACTTGTCTGTGGCATCTAGAAAGGAATTCCATGGTGGTTGACTGTGTAACACCACCTACTGACCATGTACCCCAGATTCTTGGTGTTAACTGCCCCGCGTTTATCTTGCGAAATTCAACTTGATATCCGTCACAGTTCAATTCGGATGCAACTGTACGCAATCTTTTAAACTCGGTCGACTTGTACAATGATTGTCCGTTGGATGTTGGTTGAATAGTGCTCAAATGCTTCATGTGGCTGCCCAAGTTTCGTGCAAATATCTCTGTGTTTCCATCGATAATGGCCTCCCTGAGCGAGTGATAGATGAAGTCGTACTCTTCCAACGTGGCCACAAGCTGCATGCGCTGCGCCCTTAATCGATTCACAAGACTGTACACCTCCAAACAGTGCTCATTCTTTATTTGTTCCAACAGTATGTCTATAGCAATGAATAGGCCTGAAATAAAAATAATGGCAAAGTTGGCATGCTTTTTGTATAAGGTAGTCAAAGCGCGTTGTACTCGATAACGGTGGGCCATAAAAGTCGTCTTAAATCAAACTTAACACAATGAAACATGGGATTAATCACGGGTACTAAAGAATTACACTTAACAGTTTTCGTAGGTAAAGAGTAAAACGAACAGTATAACCGGATTTTATAATTTCGGATACCACTAGGCTTCAGGTAGGTGCCCGATCAGTCTAACTTGATCAATGATTGTATACTTAGTCCGATTGAATATTGAGCGATTTGAAAACTGAACTCAATCAGTGTCTATATATTTAACATGCCTCGGAGTGTAATGAAGATAAGATGTTATTTCGCTTGCGCACTATAAATGAATAGAAGTCAATGACTCTTATTGAGAAAAGAACACAAAAACCCTGAGCGCGCAATTACGTCAGCGTGCGTGGGAGAAATGGAGAACAGCATTACTTGACGTAGACGCTTTTCTAATTAGGCTGGGGGTGCACGTACGGAGAGGAAAATATTTATCGGTTGCAGGCAACTTATTTCGTCAAATTCTGCAGTGTATCTGAGGCGATACGTGACCAGCATCAATTATTCCGCAATCGCATAACAAAGCACACACTGGACAACGCATTATTTGTCATTCGTTTCTGGACATTTTCATAAGAAATCGGAAAAGTGAATAGCCCATATAATCTTGTACATAACGGTAATCCAAGCTTCTACGGATTGCTAAATGGGGTAAGAGAAATTAGTGCAATTGATATGCCTCGTTTCATTTGTTGATCAGCCATGAACAAGCGTAGGTGGTCTCGACTCGACCGTACAAAAAGTGCTAGCTGCATATACTGAACACACGCAAGTATCCTTTGTGCTATGATTGCGCCTGTCCCCTGGGAATATTTTGCGCTAAAAGAAACAAGGTGGCTTTTGATAAAACCTAGGAATGAAAGCGCTTTGTAGTAGGGTTAGGTCTTCTATACACAAGAGGACCATTTTAGTGACAATTGTCTAACCTGCCAACCAAGTGGCCTCCAAACTTGCTGTTCGTTTCCTCAACCCTCAGTTACAACTACGGAGACAGCACCTGAAATGTTAAATAAGTTAACGAAATGTGTCATAATTCATCGTGAATGTGATAGTATTATCTGCGCAGGTGATGGTGTTTTCCTCAGTAAAAAGCGTTCAACGACGTATAATTAAATATGCACTTACTTGTGGCACAAACAATACGCTTTGCTATCTGCCTTCTACGTTACCACGATAAACTTCCCTCGTAAATGCGCTCCGAGTGATGCGCGTCATGCTAAAACCGACCACTTCAGTTGAGATTAATCGGACCTATCGCTAGCGAAAAGTCGTTAGTCTTGGACGGGACGGAAAAGCAAGCTAACCAAATCACAATGCAAACAGTGATAAACAAGTTGGTGCCTGCGATCTACCGACACGACGTTGATCATTACATTCTAACACATTTTCAACCTGCTGTCTTTCTGCTATTGTAGTCAAGGAAATGTTTGCTTCAGACTGCTACTTATGCCGTTTAGTGACTTTTGGGCAATGGCAATTATGACTGGTAGTTGCTTAACAAACTGTCATGTAAATCACTCCAACATTCAGATACATGTGAGACCTACACCATGAAGAAGATATTACCGAAGAGGTTACCAAAATTACTGAGACTGTGCCAGAACCAGGAGCAAACAACAAACGTTGTTATTATTAGTAGTAGTAGTACCAACACTAGTATAGAATTTTGGTTCCTATAGTAGCTGATAAGTAAACCTGAAAGAAGGGAAGTCAGCAGAGGAATTTAAACCCAAAGGCAAAGATTCAACTAAAAGGCGCCAACATGCTGCTACCACTTTGCAGTTGCAATCACCTGGTTATCCTGTCATAATATCGGTATGCAGGCGAAAATCGATTTCTTTCCGGCCTCCATCACACGGTTTGATGACCAACCTATACTGGTAAGTGAATCAACACCAAAAATTTTGTTGTATGGCAATAGAAAAGATATTAATCAATAAAGTGGACCGCATAGAATTCAACTTAGAATGTAAACCAGCCAAATGTCTTACGTATAGAGAATCTGGCCACATTTCCGTTGCGAGGTGTGTTGTTCTACCTCTCGCACCTTATGTTATACCACATTTGTTAATGGATGTCAGTAACAAATGTTAGGGGCGATATGCTGGTATTCTGCGACTGCTGCTCTGACCACGTAAGAAAATGGCTACATCACAGAACAGCTGTTTAGCAAATTGGTGAATCCCGTCAGTGGAAGCCACCCAGTCTGGGCTTTAATATTAAAATAAACATTATTAATGTTGGCCGGCGTACACAGTCCCAAACCGTTAACATTTATCCCTTCCTGGTGTCGGAATGGTCGCGGATGTATCCAGATAACCAGTCAAATCAACGGACTAAAGGTGCTATTCCCAGTCGGGATCCAAATGCTTAAGCTGATGCTAAAGGTAAACTCCGTGATGGTAATCACAAACGGCACGGCATACCGTTTGTTTTAGCATGGTCACCAGACTCGACTGCCCTCCCCACTACATCATGCGCAGGGAAGCTTTCAAACATTTAACTTGATGTTTCCATTGGGATGCAACCTTCCGCTTCCCAAGTCTAGGCAGAACAGCAGGGTAGTGCTATAAAAAGCTTTATCGCGTTGCAACTTACCACTCTTTAAATACTATAGTGTCAAACATGGACCCAACATGCAACCGGGTGCTTTATTGGCCAGAAAACGTCTTATGGGAATCGGAGAATCCAAGCTTTTCTTTCCTAGATCACAATGTTAAAACCTCAAACACCAGAGTTGAGCATGCACAATGTGGCATAGAAACAGCAATGCCCCTGATATATTATGCAAGATAGCTCATCAAAGCATTATGTTATAGGACCGATGAGCAAAGTACTATGAGCGTAAGATTAGCTGTGAGGTCTATCCACTTCATGACACCTGCTGTCATCTTCAAATCACTTAACTCTTCCAACTTTGCGACTGGTAAGAATGATCCCCTTAGTTTGAAAATAACAATCGCGGTTTGCATTGAAAGTTTTCGAGTACCAATATCTAATATTTTTGTTCCGCTATAGGCCAATCTTACTCAAATTATAGTGGTATCCATCCATCCACTATGGATTTATCTGAGTTAAAACAACACGCCTTTTACTAAGCATGCTCAAACATTTCAGATGGATGGAGAACATTGCTTTTCATCCTAGTTACAGTGGGATCCCAAGATAGAATAGGACCCAATCTAAGTTAACCAAATAATCAGCAATTAAATGAAAGTGTGGGATGGATACTAGTATATGGTATTGCCACAATTTCAGGGATAGGTGATATCAAGCAGCTGTCTAACTGAGTAATCCAAACTGAATCTGAGAAATTAGTAGTGCTCACTCTGAAATTATTTTTTCCATAGGCATATAAAATGGACAAAGAAATCGATGAGGGAACTGATTATCAGTGCATTCGTTCTAACTAGTAAGTGACGTAACCGTTGCGTTATCTAAATTCCAATAATTTATGTTATGGTACAAGATGCGTATTCGTTCAACTCCTGCCTCTCCACAATACCAACGGTACCAACCAATATCTTTATATACTACGGTGGATCTACCGTTACTTTTTAAACACATCCACTCTTCGGTCTAATTCTTTATCTACGAAATTTGTTGGTTACACTTTTGGATTACTACAGAACTCTCTCATTAGACCACAGCATAATGGAGTACCAAGTACAAATATTTTAAGGAAAACGTTCAGCTTGGATCATTTTAGTTGAGGCGACGGAAGCGCTAGATGATTTTACTGTGGAATCAGTTGCATCATTAAACTTCTTTCGAATTTTTTACCTTGAAATATAGCATAAATCTGTTCAGGAAGTTCGCACCAAGGGTTACGGACTACTTTCCCTAAAAATCAGAAAAATTGTGAACTCTGGCTTTTTTCTGTTTTTGCACCGTCCTTTGCAGTAAGCCACCAATTCGGTAGTTTGTGGAACCGACAAGACAATTGGAAGTTGCTTTAATACAAGGATTAACGTGACCCTGTTTACAGTCAGGGAACCTATTGTGAACAAATAAAACGGAGCTTGAAGAACAACAGTTTGGACACTGTAACCAGGATAGTTTTGTTCAACTTGCTCCTGATTTTCATGAGCAGGACGGATACGACTTAAGAAATTCTGGCCAGAAGCAATTCCACGACATTCGTAGGACTCTGCACTGGACAAGGTCGCGGCTGTACTTTTTTCAACTCTGCCGTGACCGAAAAAATACCGAAGGTAGAGCTCAATGAGTAACTTTGTAATACACGAAGTCGCCCATGATTAAATTCGACGCTGAACCGCAAGAGCTTATTGCAATGATTCATTGCTACAAGCACATCACTTCACCTGTCAGGTACAGAATTGAAAACATACCTCCCGTATTCAAACTCGGACGTAAAGATAAGGAAATGTTAATTTACATTTCAATGAGAAAACGCCCATAGAATTCTTTGGTAATATATATATATATATGTATATAGTTAAGCCGTTTGCGATTCACTGAATACCCAGATGAAAATACTGATTCCGTGTGCTCTCGCACGGTACAACAATCTGACAGAAATAGTTAAGAAAAAAATTGGGCTTTTTGAAGACCGCCTCCTCCGACAGTGGCTGTAAAACAACCTGACAGAAATAGTTAAGAAAAAAATTGGGCTTTTTGAAGACCGCCTCCTCCGACAGTGGCCGTAAACAGTTCGCTGGGCGTTTCAACAATCTGATGTTTATTGTTGCAGAAACTGGTCAGGGTTGTTTTCACCATTCCACTGCCTTTTATTGGAAACAGGACAAGAAAGCGAACGATCCTAAGGATGCTGAAGGCTAGCCTTATAGAGTCCACTGTGAGGGATCACTTGGCCCGGCTCAACCAAAGTAATACGCATGCCTGTTAGGGTGGAGTGGCTCGTAAACAGTGTC